CCTTTCCTTCTCTTTTTTCCTTCCTTCCTTCCTTCCTGCACAGATCTGCACGTTCCCCCCCCCCAATAGCTAGCAATCCAAAACAGTCCAGTGGCACCTTTAAGACCAAGTTTTATTCAGGTACAAGCTCTCCCTCCTCTGCTAGGGCAGATCTGCATGTCCCCCCCCCAATAGCTAGCCATCGAAAACAGTCCAGTGCAGCCTGAGCGGTGGGTGTTGCCTTCTGTCACACTTCCGGTGATGTCAGGGGGTGTGGCATATGCAAATAAGTTATGCTAACGAGTTATGCTAATGAACTCCTGCACCTCTTTTTCTACGAAAGGACCCCTGGAGAAGGCTTTTTGCCAGGCATGAGGGAGCGAAGATGTTTTTGGTTAAGTTTTGTAGCTCAAATAAGGTGCGTGGTTTTCGAATAATGGGACAGCGCAATAGCTGCTACCCTTGTCTTGTTTTAGATTCTGGAACGATTGTAAGGCAGATGCCAGTGATTAAAGGGATAAGAGCTTGAAGGCTTTTGGGGTAAGTGTAATGTGTAGTGGAGGGGGCATGGTGGCTCAGAGGTGAAGACGCTAAGCTGCAGACCGGAAGTGTCTGTAGTTCAGCAGTTCGAAACCTGAGTGCCGTGTGACAGAATGAGCTCCCGTCTCTGGCCCCGGCTCCTGCCAGCCTAGCATTTTGAAAACAAGAAATTTCAAGTAGTTAAACAGGTACCGCTTCGGTGGGAAGGTAAGAGCATTCCATGCGCCTCAGCGTCTAGTCATGCCGGCCACGTAACCACGTAGACATCTTCGGACAGCGCTGGCTCTTTGGCTTGGAAACGGAGATGAGCACCGCCCCCTAGAGGCAGATTCAACTGGCTTTCGAGCAAGGGAAACCTTTTTAATGTGTAGTGGAGGGAATGTAAATTGTACATTGAAGATATAGAACTTCCATGTCTCAGAAACTACGTTGCGGGAGGTGCGTTTGTTTTACTTTAGGTTTGACTACTCAGAAGCAGATATGTCTTTGAGGGAGTCCCACGAAACAGGTTCTCCAGCTATCCCCTTCCCCTAAGACTGGAGACCACCTTTGTACGGAGAAGGAAGCTTCTCGACGTCATCTGAGACAAATTTTGTCGTTAGGTCTTGTTTCTTATAAAGCATCTCGGGATTGGAATATTAGCGCGCTGTCAAAGTACACAGCATTATAATACTTGAAAAACTATACTCCTTAGCAGTAACTTCGAGCCCAACCGCGCCTCTTCAGTACCGGCTCTAGATGCCAATGACCCCAACTTTTTGCCATTTGCCCACTTGCAGCAAGTCAACCCTGATATGCCGATAAAGGTTATTGGAATTGGAAGTCAATCCTCAGCCCCAATCCTCCCACCCTTGACAGCCACCAAGCGATGCTCTAGGAATTTCTCCATGTCTCTGAGTTCTTTACCATAAAGGTTTGGGGAAATTCCTAGAGCATCGCCCAGAAGTGACATCATGTTCTTCCCAAACTCCATCCTCTCTCAGGCACCTCCTTCAAAATCACTTAGCATTCGTCAAGGCCCTGCTGGCATCCCTAGGGACCCCTAGTTTTCCTACCCCAAGTGTGGGCACCTTTCACCTCATGCCACGCGACCGTCTCATACCTTGTAGTGCTGCCAGGTGGTGAAGAAGTTGACCGACCCGTCCTGTCGCCGCTGTATGACGGTCCATCCACCCCCATCGTAATCCTGGTCACACCAGGCCTGGAAGATACCAGGGGAGCCCGCTGGCTCCAGCATGGTGACTCCGGTGGCCTGCCCATCTTGCTGAGCCGCTTGACAGTCCTGCCAAGGCCCTGTGCCAGGAAAAGAAAGGCGATCCATTAGGGCAGAATTCTGACACACGGTGAAGGTTTCCCAGGTATCTCCTGGGAACTGGCGGAAGGGTGTGGGGAACTTACCGGCAATGGATTGGCCTACCCTGGTGTCTTAGCACCGTTCTGCTGGTGATGCGGGGATGCTCTGGTATTTGGGCGAGGGTAGAAGACGTTTTTACCATAGAGCTTTTGTTCCCATACCAGAGCGTTCCACGTTGCCAGCGATGCAATGACATCACTCACTTCTGGTTGAAGGAATCTTAGGTTATCAGAGTGCTCAAGAGAGCCAGTTTGGTGTGGTGGTGAAGTGCGTGGACTCTAATCTAGGAGAGCCGTGCCCAAAAATAGCCCTGGGGGTCCCCAACATTTTTGTGCCTGGAGACATACTTGGAATTCTGACACACGGTGGAGGTTTCCCAGGTATCCCCTGGCAACTGGCGGAAGGGTGTGGGGAACTTACCGGCAATGGATTGGCCTACCCTGGTGTCTTGGCACAGTTCTGCTGGTGATGTGGGGATGCTCTGGCATTTGGGCGAGGGTAGGAGACGTTTTTACCACAGAGTTTTTGTTCCCATACCAGAGCGTTCCATGTTGCCAGTGATGCAATGACATCACTCACTTCTGGTTGAAGGAATCTTAGGTTATCAGAGTGCTCAAGAGAGCCAGTTTGGTGTAGTGGTTTAAGTGCGGGGACTCTAATCTGGGAGAACCGGGTTTGATTCCCCACTCCTCCACTTGCACCTGGCTGGATGACCTTGGGCAAGCCGTAGTTCTGATAAGAGCTGTTCTTGAAAAAAGGAGTTTGTAAGCCGCTCTGAGACTCCTTTGGGGAGTGAAGGGCGGGGTATCAATCCAATCTCCTCTTCTTCTTTTACCTCGCAGGGTGTCTGTTGTGGGGAGGGGAAGGGAAAGGAGATTGTAAGCCGCTCCAAGACACCTTTAGGTAGTGAAGGGCGGGGTATAAATCCAATTTCTTCTCTTCTTCTTCTTCTCAAGGCACGAAATGCAGCAGGGTCTATATGGTTTGTGTGTGGTGCTGAGGAACAAAGTTGCACACAGAACCACTTCACCTTTTCAAAACTAATGTGAATCCTTTCTTGTCAGGAAATCCATTCTAGACAAGATAGAACAGTGACAGGACTCTAATCTAACTAGCTAGGATGGATAAAGATGCAGAAGGAAGTGCCCTCATCGTGCCAAGATGGAGAAGAGTGTTGAGAGGAGGAGGAGGTGAAGAAAAATGAAAAGAAGGAGAAGGAGGAAAGGAGGAGGAAGAAGGAGAAGGAGGAGGAGAAGAAGGAGGAGAAGAAGGAGGAGGAGGAGTAGATTGGATTTATACCCCGCCCTTCACTCGGAGTCTCAGAGCGGCTTACAAACTCCTTTCCCTTCCCCTCCCCAAAACAGACACCCTGGGAGGTAGGTGGGGCTGAGAGAGCTCTTTCGAGGACTGCTCCTGAGCGAACAGCTCAGAGAGAACTGTGACTGACCCAAGATCACCCCAGTGGCTGCATGTGGAGGAGTGGGGAATCAAACCCGGCTCTCCCAGATTAGAGCCAGCACTCCTAACCACGACACCAAACTGTGTGCAGAGTCTGCCGGAAGGAAGGATGATTCCCTAAGAGCAGCAATCTACACGTCGAAGCATCAGAGCAGTAGAAAGGAAAGATGTTCAAGGTCCTGACCTCTCTATCGCTCTGACTCTCTATAGTCCTCCTCTGGATTTCCGGAGCATGAGCGTTCAAGAGTCAAAATTCCCTTCGTCACCTGGGGAGGATTATTCATTTACTGTCAAGAACTTCCCACATTAATAAAAATAATTTGGGACTCCTGACTCAACTTCCCCTATTGCTAGGGTTGCCAGATGATAAGAACATAAGGACATCCTGGATCAGACCTGGGGGCCATCTGGTCCAGCATCCCGTCTCACACAGGGGCCAGCCAGTTCCTCTGGAGGGCCAGCAACAGGGCAGAGAGGCCTCGGCCTTCCCCTGATAAGGACACCAGAAGAGCCCTGCTGGGTCAGACCAGGGAGGGTCCCTCTAGTCCAGCCTCCCGTCTCACACAGGGGCCAGCCAGTTCCTCTGGAGGTGCAGCAACAGGGCAGAGAGGCCGAGGCCTTCCCCTGATAAGGACACCAGAAGAGCCCTGCTGGGTCAGACCAGGGAGGGTCCCTCTAGTCCAGCATCCCGTCTCACACAGGGGCCAGCCAGTTCCTCTGGAGGGCCAGCGACAGGGCAGAGAGGCTGAGGCCTTCCCCTGATAAGGACACCAGAAGAGCCCTGCTGGGTCAGACCAGTTAGGGTCCCTCTAGTCCAGCATCCCGCCTCACACAGGGGCCAGCCAGTTCCTCTGGAGGGGCAGCAACAGGGTAGAGAGGCCGAGGCCTTCCCCTGATAAGAACGTCAGAAGAGCCCTGCTGGGTCAGACCAGGGAGGGTCCCTCTAGTCCAGCATCCCGTCTCACACAGAGGCCAGCCAGTTCCTCTGGAGGGCCAACAGCAAGGCATAGAGGTCGAAGTCTTCCCCTGAGGTTGCCTCCTGGCTCTGCGATTCAGAGGCTTAGTTCCTCTGAATGTGGAGATTCCCCTCAACCACCATTGCTAGCATCCTCCGTGAATCTGTCTCATCCCCTGAAAAATCCTGTGGCCATCACTCCATCCCCGGCAGCGAATTCCACCTTTGAATCCCTCTCTGTGCAAAGTAGTCTTTCCTTTTGTTCATCCTGAACCTACTGCCCATCAGCTTCATTGGATGCCCTCGCGTTCTAGTGTTTTGGGAGGGGGGGGAGTTCTCGTCCACTCTCTCAAAAGCTCATACCCCCAAATGTCTTGTTGGGCTCTACGGTGCTACCGGACTGGAATCCAGCTCTTCTGATGAGTCGTTGAGGATTTTTGCTTGTTTGTTTCTGCACGTGCTCCATGATGGTGTCTTGGGCGATGCCCAGATTTACCAAAAAACCCATTTTTCCATGAGGCAGGTTGAGTTCTCTTTGCAGAAGGGGCAAAAGGCGGGATGTAATTATTTTAATAAGTAAATTAATAACAGGGAACGGGTCCGTCTCCTCCCGGAGAGGGCCTGCGTTCTTGCTTTATGGTACATGTCAGCCGCAGAAGCCTGCCAATAAATCAAAAGCTTCCCCCCAAAAAACTTCTGTTTGTTGTTCTGCCAAATTTCTGCACCAGGTGGGAGTACTGCATGCCCCAAGATGAAAGGCGTGCGGGGCGGGGTGTGTGTGTTATTCATATAGGCAAAAATATTTTTATTTGGCTCTGGGCTACAGATGTCTCAGCCTCAGGGAAGGCACAGGGTCCCCGCACAGACTACGTGGGGAAAGGGAACATGTGTTGCCAGAGATGGGGGAAGGAGATATTATCGAGGAGCTGCGGTGGCTCAAGTGGTGAAGATGCTGAACGGCAGGCTGCGGAAGTGGGTCGTTCAGCAGTTCGAGACCCGAGTGTGCCGCATGATGGAGTGAGCTCCCGTCTCTAGTTCCAGCTCCTGCCAACTTAGCCGTTCGAAAGCAAGAAATTGCAAGTAGATAATAGGGACCACTTCGGTGGGAAGGGAACAGCGTTCCATGCACCTTGGTGTTTAGTCATGCCGGCCACATGACCACGGAAACGTCTTCGGACAGCGCTGGCTCTTCGGTTTGGAAACGGAGGTGAGCACCGCAATCCTAGAGTCGGATTCGACTGGCTTTCGAGCAAGGGAACCTTTACCTTTACCTTTTATTGTAAGAGGGTTCACGTCTGCACGTTTGTAAAAAATAAAAGGAGTGGATTGGTTTTGTCCGGGATGTGGAACCATCCATGTAATAGTGACGGATGAATGGCGAAAGCCGATGCAGACACAGACTCATCCAGCTGCCTTCTACTGAATCAGTCCATCGGTCCATCAAGGTCATATTGTCTACTCAGACTGGCAGCTGCTCTCCAGGGTCTCAGGTGGAGGTCCTTCAACTGTAGGTGTCCAGGATTGAACCTGGGACCTTCTGCATGCCAAGCAGAGGCTCTGTCACTGAGCCACAGCACCTCCCCAAATGCCTTATACTGATGGACCCTTGGTCCATCAAGGTCAGTATTGTCTGCTCAGACTGGCATCAGCTCTCCAGGGTCTCGGGCAGGGGTCTTTCACATCATCTCCTGACTGGTCCTTTTAACTGGAAATGGCAGGGATTGAACCTGGGACCTTCTGCATGCCAAGCAGAGGCTCTGCCACTGAGCCAGGGTCTCAGGTCAGGGTCTTTCTCATCACCAAGAAGACAGAGCATCACTGTCCCCAGACATAAGAACATAAGAGAAACCATGTTGGATCAGGCCAGTGGCCCATCCAGTCCAGCACTCTGGGTTACACAGGGGCCAAAACCCAGGTGGCCATCAGGAGGTCCACCAACAGGGCCAGAACTCCTGAAGCCCTCCCACTGTTGCCCCCCCCCAATTACCAAGAAGACAGAGCATCCCTGCCCCCAGACATAAGGGAAGCCATGTTGGATCAGGCCAGTGGCCCATCCAGTCCAGCACTCTGTGTCTCACACAGCGGCCAAAACCCAGGTGACCATCAGGAGGTCCACCAGCGGGGCCAGAACTCCAGAAGCCTTCCCACTGTTGCCCCCCCCAATTACCAAGAGGACATAGCATCACTGCCCCCAGACATAAGAACAAAAGGGAAGCCATGTTGAATCAGGCCAGTGGCCCATCCAGTCCAGCACTCTGGGTCACACAGTGGCCAAAACCCAGGGGCCATCGGGAGGTCCACCAGCGGGGCCAGAACTCCCACTGTGACCCCCCAAGCACCAAGTAGACAGAGCATCACTCCCCCAGACTGTCGCAGTTCCATCTATACCTTGTGGCTAATAGCCCCTGATGGACTGATATTAGAAAGACAGCATAACTTTTATGGGAAAGCTGGATTCTAGTCCAGTTGTGCCTCAGGGACCAATGACATTTTTTTTGGGGGGGGGGACTCTTGCTCTTTTCTACTGCTACAGACAGACTAACACAGCTGTCCCTTTTGGTCCATCTCCACAGAAGTTAATCCGTTCACAGTAAGTGAAATGTAGCTACATGAGTATGTCATGTAAGATGGGCATCTGTTTTGTAAGTCAAATTTCTTTCTCTTGTTGCCATCAAAATCAGGTCATCTTTGTAATTTTTTGAACAGCATTTTCCCCTTAACTGGGAAACGTGGAGGATAGTGGATACTGCATAAATCTTCTGTGCTTCCAAGCCAATTGATTAAAAAAAACACACATTTAACCCAATACATCATGGGGCATTTAAAAAGACAGCTGGGTGTGTTGTTCTCCATCACCCTGCCAAAGAAGTTTGGAATTCACTTCAAAACGTACAGTTCTGTGCAGCGCAGAAAGCATACTGACACAGATGTCATAATGTTGTACTATTATCTTTTGCACACATCTCACATACTCTTCTCCCAAATGTGAACCGTTTTCAACATCTGCAACAGGCCAGATGTGCTTAAAAGAGGGATGGAGGGGGTGCCGCTCGTAAATCTTGTTTATGTGATGAGATAACTGAGCTCGTTGAACTTACTTCAGCTTAGGGTTTGTTTATATGACTCAAAGTTCACCGCAAAGCTGGCGCTAGACAGAACCATCAAGGGGTTTTGTTCCACTTCAAAAAGCGTAAGAATGTAAGAAGAGCCCTGCTGGATCAGACCAGTGAGGGTCCATCTAGTCCAGCACCTTGTCTCAAACAGTGGCCAGACGGTTCCTCAGGAGGGCCAACAACGGGCTACAGAGGCCGAGGCCTTCCCCTGAGGAGAACACCAGGAGAGCCCTGCTGGGTCAGACCACTGAGGGTCCATCTAGTCTAGTATCCTGTCTCGCACAGGGGCCAGCCAGTTCCTCTGGAGAGCCAACAACAGGGCAGAGAGGCCGAGGCCTTCCCCTCATAAGAACATCAGAGGAGCCCTGCTGGGTCAGACCAGTGAGGGTGCACCTACGGTAGTCCAGCCTCCCGTCTCTCACAGGGGCCAACCAGTTCCTCTGGAGGGCCAGCAACGGTACAGAGGCCAAGGCCTTCATAAGAACATAAGAAGAGCCCTGCTGAGTCAGACCAGGGAGGGTCCATCAAGTCGAGCATCCTGCCTCACACAGTGGCCAACCAGTTCCTCTGGACAGCCCACAACAAGGCATAGAAGCTGAGGCCTTCCCCTGATGTTGCCTCCTAGCTCTGAGATTCCGAGTATTAGTGCCTCTGAATGTGGAGGTTCCCCTCAGCCACCATGGCTAGTAGCCATTGACAGTCTTATCCTCCATGAATCTATCTAATACACTTTTAAAGCTGTTTATTCCTGGGGCCATCACTGCATCCTCTGGCAGCAAACTCCACATTTTAATCTCTCACTGTGTAAAGTAGTACTTCCTTTTGTCCGTCCTGAACCTACTGCCCATCGGCTTCACTGGATGCCCTCAAGTTCTAGTGTTTTGAGAGAGAGAGAGAAAGAGAGAGAGATCTTTGTCAGTTCTCTCCACGCCTTGCATCATTTTATAAATCTCTATCATGTC